CCCCCTTCCATACATTTCTTCACTTACACACCTGGCAAAAAGGTTCCCGACAGCTGCTCCCTCCTGGGTCACCCTGTCCCTCTGCAGTCATCGTTTAATGCATCGCCTTCCGCTACGCTAAATGCCGCTCAGAGATGCCCTGCCCTGAAGTACTGCACTCCGGTGAGACACTGAAGAGAAAACACCACTGAGATGCAAGCGAGTGGGTTTCTAGCACTGGGACCTCCAGCCTGCGGTAGGTGTGTTTCAGACGCCTGACTTCGTTGTGGAGGGGGAGGTGAGCTTCCTTGCAGACCTGGACATAGTGTATGACAGTACACACCCGCAATGCTGATTCCGTGGCCAGCTCAGCCACTTCCAGAAAAATGATGGAAGGGAAGGGTGGAGGAGAAGGAACACAACTCCACAGAGAGAAAGAGTTGCTGGATACTGTGTCTGCAGCAATAATTTAAACCAGCCCAAAAGGATCGCTAAGTTGCATTCTATTAATTGCAATACTCCCAGCAATCCCTCAGCAGGCAGAACACACTTTCCCAGGGCTTCTGAGCACCTAGGAGCTGACTCTCTCTCGGTCTCTGCCATTGGACACCCCTGTGTATAGCCAAAAGCCATCAAGTCAAGAAACTGGCCAAGTGTCAGTCACTGTTTCTACTAAAATAGCCAACTGCGGAGAGTTGCATGGATCCAGCCTTGCAGGGCCCCATGAAACAGTGCTCATGATGGAAAGGTGGAGAAGAAAGGCTATTTTATGTAGGAGGGGAAATTTACTTGCTGAGAACAGACAGAGTAAGCTTCCCTCTCCGTGTAGGGAAATCTGAAAGTCCATTACAAAGGGAGATTGGAGGAGGCATGGAGCTGGCCCAGCCATTCCTGCTCCTCTCTCCAGGGAATGCCAAGAAAAGAGAAGCTCTCCCCAGCTTGGAGAGCTGTTGACTTGGGCAATTAACAAACACAAAGGGGTCCTTTGTAGGTGAAGGGTAGCTGCCAGGGACACAATGCTTTTGCCCCTAACCATCCATTAGCTCACACCTTAGGCTTTTAGCCTTTTTCCATTTTTCCTGCCTGAAAACACCACTCGGAGAGTTTTTCTACTCAGAAACATCCTTTTAGGACCCATGTTCTAAACAGGAGACAGGCCAACAGCTCTACTGGCACCTTCATAAGCACCGGCAGTTTAGATGTGCCGTTATGAGAAAAATCAAAGAACATCAGGAAGGCCTAGTGTTGCACACTGAATTTAAACCTGGAAGGACTGAGCTTGCAGCTCCTGGCCCTTAGGTAGCGGACACTGTGAGGAACTAGAGTGACAAAGCAGGTGACTCCCTGGGCTGGGAAGCTCACAGTCTAGCAAGGGGAGGCAGACTAGCAAAGGATCTGCAAACATCTGCACTGTGTACCTTACCCTGCAGGTCAGCTTGTGGGAAACAAAGAATTGTTAGAGTCATTTCTCTTAAAAGACTAAAAATTCAAAACAACCAATCTAGGTCTGCAGCGAAATGTCACACTGTACCATTATATATGCTATCATCTCATTTGCCTTCCACCTCCAGGTTAGTCAGTCTAGCGTCAAGTATTTCAAGCACCAAAATTTATCATCATAACTCTCCCTAGGATTTTGGCATTAACCATAAGGTACAGCCACAGCAGCTATACCAATCATTGTAAAATATTTTCTCCAAAGTATCTTTAAAAGTCTCCATAAGTATTTGGGTTAAAGCAGTTAGAATTCCACCTGCATATAATTACTGAAAAATTTTAAATAACATATTATTCCAAGAATATCAAAACGGAGAGGGAAGATTACAAACACCCATGAACACAATACCACATTAATGATACACAATGAAACTTTCTCTAGGGCTTTCTCAAATTCCATTTCTTTCACTCCCTGGGCTGCTAAGTAAGCTGCTTATTGTAAAACTGCTTCCCATGAATGTTTTTAGACTTTGACTGTAAATGTTTGTACCCAGAAATAATAGTCAATCTTGCTTTGCAGATGTTTGAATTTTACAATGAAAATACTATCTAATACCTTGAATGTGCTTTTAACTCTGCCTATCACTCTATTTTTGATACTTACATTCATTATACACATACTCTAGATCATTCATTCTGCCTGCTGTATAGTATTTCATTGTATAACTATATCATGATCTATGTAAAGGATGCATAGATTTTGAGAGGCAGTTGAGAGGAAGGCTAGCAAAGAGCATGGCAAGTTCAGTTCCACTGAAAAAGAGAGGAAAAGTGCTGGAAGAATCTGGGATTAAGAGCCTTGGCAAATGGCTAAATTCCTCTGTGAAAGGAAGAAGAAGATGAGCTGGAATCCAGCTTCCCCAGGGGCCAGGACAAAGATGGAAATTGTGGCCTTGAAGTTGGCAATGAGCTGGAAAAGCCTCTGGAAAACTGATCTGGGGTCACTTGATTATTTAGTAATATCTTGTCCAGAAAGTTAATTCCCTTGACTTCTCTGAACTGTTGCCCTCTGCACCATAATAAAAAAAAAAAAGTTCAGAGTCATTGTATTTTAAGTCATATATGAAGCAGGACAGACTTCAGATAGTTCTTGAGAAAATTATAATAAATTATAAACTAGTGAGGATCTGAATTACTTTTTTTCTTAAACAGAATATGGTTTGGTTTTTTTTGTTTTTGTTTTTGTTTTTTAACTAAAGGTCCGAGATTCATGCATTGAGGGGGGAAGGTGGGGGAGGTGTCCCTCAGGCTGGCCTGAACTCTCTCACAGTCTTGGATCTGTTGGGGGATGTCCGCCTGCCGGCAGTAAAACATCAGACTCCCTGTCCAGGGCTCTCACAGTCTGGGGCTCTTGCAATCTGGGACCCCTCGCTTCTTACCGCCTGCCTGCAGCCGAGTCAGGAGAGGAGTCAGGAGAGGCTCCCACCACCCACCGCCACTGCGTGCTGGTCAGCTGTGAGGCCGGCTTCTGGCTGAGCAGCACTCCCCCTGTAGGGGCACACTGACCACCAGGGGGCAGCTCCTGCGTTGAGCGTGCCTGCCCCTGGTGGGCAGTGTGCATCATAGTGACCAGTCATTCCACTGTTTGGTCTATTTGCAATTAGGCTTTTATTATTTAGGATAGGATGATAATTTTAAAAGCCTATTTCCTGTCTTTTATTTATAAAAATTTAAAATATACCTAAATATTATGTTTCTATGATTCTAGACATAAAATCATCTTTAAACTTACTTAAAATAATGTTTTTAATCTGATGAATGCATGTGTCTCATTGATGTAAATGCATTTTTAAAACATTAGCTTTCAAAACATACAAATCAGAAGCGGCAGATACAACAAAAGCCCCTCGGAAGAGCACAGCCTGCCTGAAGGTGCACACCCCAACAGGTTCAGTCCCATCCTGTGTAATCAGAGGCAAGGAGGAAACCAGCACACCGTGCCACTGCTCACTGGTCCCACAGGAAGAAGACTCCTCAGCACATGGGGATCAAATGCCTATTCTTTCCGGGAGAAGGTGCTGAGAGATCTGAAAGCATTTGTGTGGCAAATAAATTGAGAAAGCCATCGCAGGTTTAATAATCAGGTACCATTATGTTGGCAAGCATCAATACCTAATAAAGTCACACTTGTGTCCTTCTATATTTGCTTTGTATTTAAACCATTGTTGCATTTATTTTTAAAAGTATTTTCTTTTCTCAAAGTCATAAAAGAATCTTGCATGAGAAGAGTAATTACTGGCATCTGTCTGTGGTCACGGAAAACCTGAGTGACGGTAAGTCCCAGAACATCTATATCATACATCATTAATTCTTTGGGGGATATTTGGATTTAATTGAAAATTCAAAATAACACGCTTATTTATGGTTTACTTCACTTAGAAGTATTAGTTTCTCTAATAATAAAAAGTGTAGATTTCTGTTGAGATATGTACTGTGCTTTATTCCCATATTCTGACTGATAGATCAACTGATTTTTATTAGGAAGGGGATTTTAAATAGCTTAAATGTAATCCTAACTTTCTTTTATTAAGTAGTCAAAGCATAGACTCCAAACAAACCCAGGCCATCATTTTTTAATTTTTATTAAGATTCATATTCTCAAGTAGAGAAATTTAAATATTTTCTTTATATTCCACCCCCATCAACTAATGGCTATTAGTTAACATTAACAGAATTGAGACTTGCACAAATATTAAAAGAGATTTGGCCCTTAAACAGATATGGGGAATATAATTTGCTATTTCACATTACCTTAATAGTTTATAGAAACATACTAATTCAGAAACAGAAAAAAGAAGTGTGAGCTATTTATTAAAGGCTAAAAGGAAGACGTATGCAAAGAAAAGGTTGAAAATCACTATGAAGAAATCAGGTCAAGGGGTTATAAATCTGCTACTTAAACACAAAAGCCTTACATGAATCATTTCATTAAGACCTAGATCTAACAGTAGGGAGCTCAGTTCATTCAAAGTCTTCTTTAATTCAAATTAGGAGAGAATCATTGATCAGCTACCTCCTGCACACACCGCCATTGAGGATGGAGCCTGCAACCCAGGCCTAAATCAAACCTGGGACCATTCAGTCCACAGGCTGATGCTCTATCCACTGAGCCAAGCCTGCTAGGGCCAGATCATAATTCTTGATTTAGATCAATTTATACTATATGCAGAGCAAATAATGTTTTTGCTTGTCTACATAGAATTTTAAAATTTAAATTAAGATTCTCCTAAGAATAAATATGCATTTTGGTTTACAAAATGCCAGTAAGGAAAAAAAAAAAAAAGACCTGAAAACTTTCAAATTAACTTGAAATCACTAATATTGAACATTTATAAAGAAACACACTTTCTGGTTTTCCCTAATTTGGTTGATTATCATTCATTTTCCATTTGCCACTGAAAATCTAACAAGTCAGAGAATAATCATTTTACAAACTGTACCTCCCTCCCACACTCCTACACACCTCCCCTCCCTCCCCACCCCCCCACCCCTCCAAAAAAAAGGAACAGAATTGTGCTACTTACAAACTTCCTCTCCTGGGAAGACTTAGCTCCTTCTGCAACAGAAAAAAACACAAAGATATATGTGAGAAGTTACATTCCCTCAAATCACTACGACAGGAAATGGATAACAAGAAATGCATTGTCCTTCCTTATGCGTATTTTGGCATTTGCTACTCATAAGAAATTTTAATGTCATAATTTTATTCTGGATCCCTCTTTATATTGTTCTTTTTATCTTTATGGTCAAGATACAAACACTGTTTACCTAAATTCCAGAGGAGGAGACACCACTCTCCACAAAGCAATGACAGTTGAATTACCTGGCCCTATAATTGAGCATAAGGAAAATCTGTGGAACCAAAGGCCTTATTCAAAGAAAAAACAGACATAAGGAGAAAAAGTCCTGTGAGATTATCTATAATAATAAAAGCGTAATATGCAAATCGACGGAAAAGTCCAACAGAGGAAGGACCTTCTGGATGACATTTGGATGAAGCCTGGGCTGTGAGGGCCAGCGAGGCAGCCAGAGCTGCAAAAGCCCACTCTTGTGAGATGAAAAGAACAGTTAAGTTAGATGATTTGTCCCCAACAGAAACAGACTCACGTCAAAATATTGTGCATACCCAAGATTACACTTTATTTTTAAGAATAAATCAAAAGACTTCTTTCTGGTGTTATTTTTTAAACAAATGTAAATTATGGCTTAGGATATTCGAAAGTAGGTTAATGAACCTCTAAAAACCTAACTAGACAGCAACACCAATTAGCAGAGCACTTCCTAGCTTTAAAAGGGTGCTCTCTCACTTATCTCTAATTAAGACCATTATGAACCTAACTACAGAGGGGCTGTGGGAAAACAACAACAACAAGCAAACAAGCCAAGCAAACAAACACACACTAAGGGACACAGAAGTAGCTCCACCCATTAGTGAAGCTTTCAAATCCGGGATACGCAAGAATGATCACCTGATGACAGTAATTAAAGAATAGGAAGCAAGGAGTCATTGGACTATCTAAATTCAAAAAGGGCACACTATAAATTCTAACGACTCGGCTAATTTGGTTTCCCATTCCCATCACTATAATTTATTTTATTTTTATTTTTTTTGTCTTCCAGGAGCTCAAAACATTATCTTTTGAAAAGTGTTTCCCCCTCAGCTTCAAACTCACCTTTCCTGCCCCCTATTCTCTATGGGCTCCTTCAATACCTGCCAGGACAATGGCCTAAGATCGCACTTCTGGGCAGTGCAGCTTGAGGGTCGCAGGCTGGAGGGGAAGATGCTGCTTTAGATATGATGACAGACTTATTAAGTGGCAAATGTATTTTGATACAGGGTTATAATGACGGTATCACTGTTTAACTGCAAGAAGAAACAATCAACAATTTTAGGAACAGAGTATCTTTCTCCTTCTTCCAATAGCAAACTTGCCTTTTCCAAGGTCAGTGGTAAATGCTTTTTTTTTTTTTTCCTGTTTTGTTTGGCTTTATTGCTTAAGCCTTGATTAGCCCCATGAAATTATAGTGTTTGCTGAACTCGGGTCCCTGATTCTGAAACGTAAATTTACCTTCACTGACTAAAGCCCCTGATGATGACAGTTTTCCTTCGCAAGAGCAATGGGAATGGAAAACCAGTGAGGAACTTGCTACATGTGCATCTTTGGCTGTGACAAGGCCTGAGTGATTAGTGATTCAGATTTAAAAAAAGAAATGAGGGGACTGCCTAGAAGTACTTGTTCACCGGACTGTTCCTTGTGGAAAAGGATTAGAGACCCACTGCCCAGCAAGATGCCAAGAGGTCCAATAAGGAAACACACCCTGTCCAGTAAGTGGACTAAGTCTTACTGGATTCAGCAGCATTAACAGAAAAAGGAAACCACCTGAGATGTTAGCATTAATAACAGAAAGAAATGTCAGATGCCCCTTCGACTTTATTTGCACACAGATCACTATAAAAGGGAAAGGGCCAAATGAGTGATCTCAAAGAGTGGGATTAATCATGTTTCACCAAATGACTCCACCATCCGCTGGTCGCTGTGCTGTGGGAGGGTAAAAAACGCTGAAACAGCAAGGTAAGGGATAAACACCGGCTCTGTTTTTAATCAGTCTTTCGAGCAGGTTCAGAATTATGAGTTCTAAACAAGAAGAAAGGTCACGGTGTGCAGCCCAGCACCTCGGCTCCGCGGGACGGCGGCGGGGCTCGGCGATGAGGCGCAAGGACATTCAATAGGCCGCTGTCAGCTGACCTGGAGCTTCCAAGCTAACGGAGCTGGAGGAGCTAATCCACCTGACGGCTTGAATGTCAGGCTTGGGACTGGAAACTCAATTTGGTAACAAATTGGAATCAGATGTGATGGTAATAAAGTGAGAGAAATGACTGCGCTGTGGCCAAGACCTTGTGAGCAGGAGCTGCAGACGGCTGCAAATACCAGGCGGGCGAGGCAATTGAAGGCAGGGCGAGGAGTGTGGCAGCCCCCATACGTGGGGACCCCATGCTGATAAGGTCTGTACCACTCAATCTAAGTGAGCAGCATCAAGGCATTTACTGCCCAGGTCCCTGTGGTACTTGGTGTGTGTGTCCTTGTTTATGTCATGATAAGGCCACTCACAAATATCTAGTCAGATCAACACGTGGTATTGGTTACAGTCATAAACCAGAGTTTGTGCATATATATTTGAAATAAAAATTTAGCAGCAGGTAAACATTAGAGGCACTAGGGATAAACAACTGTACTCACTATAAAATACTAGCAGCGTGTGGAAAGGCCTGGAGCAGAGGTCTTTTAAAAATATGCAGCAGTCTATGTTGTTCCCTTAGATGAGTGGATGAGTGAGATCAACATAGACTGATGAACAAGAACAGACCCAGAGATAAGGAGCCATGGGTCAGACTGTTGGACCTCAAAGGGAGGGTGAGGATAAAAGGGAGAGATCAACCAAAGGACTTATGTGCCTAACCAGTGGTCAAGGACAACAGGGGGGTGGGGGGATGTGTGGAGGGGAAGGCATGGGGGGTTGAGGAAAAATATGTGATACCTTAATCAATATAGAAATTTAAAAAAATAAAAAATAAATAAAAATACACAGCACTATGAAGGGCGGAGGGTCAGTGATGGTCCCCATTATTCATTATGACAGAATCTGGCAGAACTGACATTATGCTCAATCTCAAGAGTAAGCTAATGGCAACGCTCATGGCTTGGACAAAGGAATTGGTTCAAAGATGGCAGGGGATTCAATCTGGGAAAACAAGATGCAAAACAACGTTGCTTGTGATTCCTGAGAAAGAACTCCCTTTCCTTTCCCAAGACAACTAGCAGGAAAGAAGGGGCATCATTCATCCTAGGAATCTAATGGCCATGACCTGACAAACATGAAAGGTGGCATAAAAGAAAGACAGAAACTGCGGGTTGGGTTGGCTGATATCTTTGAGACAATGGTTCTAGCCTTGCCTATTACCTGGCTATCTCAGTTACACCAGCCAATCAGGTCCCTTAATTGTTTACACCAGTTTTGCTTGTGTTTCCTTGGGATTCAAATATCCCTAAGTGACACAATACTTGAGCCTCAGCTTTATTAAGCATCATCTGGGAGTTGGCTACGCAGCCTCAGGTGTGGGTGAGGAGAGGGGCATTCAGATGTGGGCACAAATGTGGCAATGTCAGGTGGAGTGAAACCATACACAGCTCTTGGGAAAATAGGAATGGCTGGGACGGGGGAGAAAGTAACCACCACCAGGACATGAGTATGGATGCAGGGACAGGGCCATAGAAGGTTTTTGGAAGGGTCTATCTTTATCCTATGGACAATGGAGATCTCCTAGGACACTTTAAACTGGAGAAAACATGGCCACATAAGCATGTTTAAGGACATCACACTGGCATCAGGATGTCCAAGGGTTCACTGGGAACAAATGGGAAAGGAATTGGGGCCTTAATCCACTGTCCAGGGTTCAGGACCGAGTGCCAAGACCAAAGAAAGGCAGTGGGGAGGGTGACGAGGGGCAAATTCAAAAAACAAATGTGTGCACAGAATCTACAGGAGAAGAGCAGGAATGCTTAACTTCTGGAGCTAAAGGCAAGGAGTGCCATGCAGAGATTTAGGGAAGAGGGGGCATCCTAAAGCATTGGGGCCTTCCAGAAGTTAAACAATGGAAATCGGAATGTAAATGAGGGAATGGCAAAAACCACTGACGTTAGCTCAGTGATGGACAGTAGCACGAGATCAAGATGCAAAATTAAGGTAAGAGCAAAGGTTGCCATTCCACGTCTTCCTTGCATGGAAGTTAGACGCCAAATCCCTATCCCACTCTAAATCTTGACACAAATGGTGGAAGTTGTTTTTCTTTACTAAATTTAATTGGCCTTTGTGTGCTGAACAGCAGCACCTAACATTTCCTGCGAGTGACATACATTATCTTATTTAATCTTCACTATTATCTCCACTTTAGGAACTGAGGCGAAAGCAGGTTAAGCAGCTTACACAAGGTCACGGAGCTGGGTAAATGGCTTAGCTTGTCCTTGAATCCACATCAGCCTTAGTGCTGGGCAGTTTAATTACTTTTCATCACCAAGTAAGACCTGGTGTGTCTGTCCCGTGGACTCCCTTCACGAAGGGCACCGAGCTACATTCATAGTTGATAACATGCTGGCTGGCAAGCACTCTCAAGAAGGAGGGATACAAAAGATCTTTGCAGCTCTTTCTAAGCAAATTTCACACCTAAATTATTTTTATAGACTCTGATTTTACTTGAAGCAAAGCCTTGCAAATACATTAATTTTAACACAGGCCTTTTAAAGGAGAAAAGCGTAACAAGTCAAATAATCAGCTAACCCCAAAGTAAATGAGCAAACAAAACAAGCTTCCTTTCCAGTCAATTACTGTGGTTTTTGATGCTTCCTAACATGTCATACCCTGGACATCAAGAAATTAAGCTTGGGAATGAGATATTTATATACCTACTGCCTTCCAACTCAGTATTCTATAAGGGATATCTGCCTCCTAAGTCAAAAGTTGTCATGTTTCCCTGCACGGTTTGCCAAATAACAACTAGAA